TCTGCAAAGAGTTGAGGAAAAATGAATGGGGTATAAAATTATGCATAAATGTGAAAAAAATCAAACAGATTTTAATTCTACTTCCCAAACGTTTTTTAGAAAAGTTTTTTTTTTAAATTGGAAAGGCAAATATACAGAGAAGGAGAGATAGAAAGCTCTCCTGTCTGCTGATTCACTCCCCCAGGGGCTGCAACAGCCACAGCTGAGCTGACCTGGAGCCAGCGGTTTTTTTCCAGGTCTCCCAGGCAGGTGCAGGATCCAAGGCTGTGGGTCATTCTCTACCGCTTTCCCAGGCCACAAGCTGGGAGCTGGAAGGGTATGGAACGGCCAGGACATGAACCACTGCCGGGCGCGTGTAAGGCTTTGCTCTGGACCCCATTTCCCAAACTTTAAACACATTTTATTTATTTGAAAGTCAGAATTATATAGAGAGAAAGAGAGAGAGAGACCTTCCATCCATTGGTTCACTCACACCATGTGGCCACAGCAGACAAGGCTGAGTCACACCAAAGCAAGGAGGCAGGCGCTTAATCCAGGTTTTCCCAGGAGGTGGCAGGGACCATACACTTGGGCCATCTTCTGGTGCTTTTCCCAAGCCATTGGCTGGAGCTGGATGGGATGTGGAGCAGCTGGGACCTTTGAATACCATCCACGTGCAATGTCGGCCTCACGTGGCAGCTTGACCCGCTGCTGCAAAGACGGTTCTCACAAACATTCGAGTTCTTCTTGTACTTCATGGGCTCCAACTTGACCAGGAACTGGGCTGTGGAGGAGGACCTGTGTGCTTTAGGTGTTCCTCCTGGCTTTGCACAGAGTCTGGCTTGCAGAGCAGAAACCTGTGGTGGTTTCCTCTTTGGTTTTGTTAGAAGTCGAGGCACCCATGGGGATGTGACTTGTAGGTGGAGGGTTTTACGGTTCTCCCGTTGGGAGAAAGGTCAGTCTGGGAACTAATGAGTGGCAGTGTCACGGTGAGGAGGGCTTGGCTTTCTCCTCCTCCCTCTGCTGGACGTGGCTCAGTGGACAACGCTCCGCACAGGGTTCTCCCCCTGCTTCTGGCTGCAGCACGTATGCCCAACTGACACTGGAGCCTGATGTTTTCCCGCGTTCTTGGTCAGTTCAGAAGTCAAGCAGTGTTGTGCTGTGTGTGCCAGTGTCCCCTTCTTCCACATAGAGGCCCAGGCTAGCCCAGAACTGAGACAGTGACCACGTGGCCTGGGATGGCTTGAGGTCGAGCTGGGGATAGCATGAACTTTCCACAGAAGGAAGCGGATACCTGAGGTGTCTGAGATTCTCCTGTTTGCCTCCCATGCAACACAAATTTGTCCCTACCCTGCGACACCTCCTTCAATGCAGAAGGGACTGTGGGTGAGAGTCCCTGCTTGTGTCCCTTGGAAAGGTTCATTAGGAGGAAGCAGTTTGCCTGAAAGCGTCGAGGCACGCATGTTCCGACGACATGGCCTTCGTGTTAATGCGTAAACCTCTGTGTGGGTGACGCATCAAGTCATCTGCACATTTTACCTTCTTCAATTTAGGACAAGTGTTCTATTCTCAGCCACGGCTGTGACAAGTTGAGAGTTGGCCAGTGCTAAGTATGCGACAACAGAGCAGTGGCTGTCAGTTAGAGAGGCTGCGCTCACCACCACCACCTGCAGGCCTCCAGCCAGCGCCCCCTCCTTCCCTGGCAGTTTGGCAAGATTCCAACATATTCTATATGTTGCCTTCCAACCTTTTAGAAAAAAAAAAACAACCAACAACTCTTTTCTTAGATTTGGCAATCAGATGCTGTTCGAAAAACAAACAAAAAAAATACCCTAGTGCTTGCCCCACCTTCTGCTCTGCTGTCGTGGAGAGCTGCTCTGCCGGTAGAGCCTCCTGGTGGGGGTTCTCTCTAGCCAGCCTTGCCTGGAGCTGAGCAGCAGCATCTTCTAGCACCGGAGTGGGAGTCCAGGTGGGGCCTCTACCTGCTGCTTGAACCACTGGCCTTAGAGACGGAGGGAGAGGTCACAAGCGTCAGCTGCTCCACAGTGTTGGCAGGAGCAGGTGCCCAGGGTGGAGCACTCCAGCTGTCTGCTCTCAGCAACACCCAGGCTCTTCCCCGCCTGTAGGAGCAGCCCTGTCGCTAGGCAACCCCTGCGAACCACCTTTCCCCAGCTTACTGACCACTCAGTGGCTCGGCAGCGGGGCCCAGGGCTGTTACTATGCTTGGATTTGGTGTGACCCACGTGGTGTGGGGACCGCATGTTAATGAGCTCTGTCCTAGGGTGAGTTGGGATCTGAACGCAGGACCCAACGGGCCCTGAATGGCTTCCATGAGAGCTGACTGCAGCTACGTGGCTGCGAGCACAGAGGCTGGGGGATGAGCCTGCAGCAGGGAAACAGGAGCCCACTAGGCGCTCTAGGGCAGGCTGTGCGGATGGAGAGGGCTCTGCCTGGGTGAGCCCCGGACAACGGGTGGCTCCCCGCTGGATTTGGACCGTGGTGCATGCCTGCCACCACATGTCGTTGGGGGCCTCCGTTTCCTTCTCTGTCGAGTAGGTTAGGTAGGATCAATGAGAGGAGGGGCCTGTGGAGCCCAGCTGCTGCTGCCATGGCTTGAACCGGTGACTGTGGGGCGCTGGGTGCACGGGAGAGTGTGGCCAGAGGCTGTAAGAAGGTGCCAGGGTCCCTGACAGTGAACTTTCCTGTGATGGCCAGAAAGAGTGGATGCCTCTGAGCTGGGCTCCAGGGCAGATGTGAAGTGAGCCCTGGTAGGGCATGATGCCACTGTTGGTTGAGGGAGCAGCAGGTAGGGGTGGAGGGCATGGTCGTTATCCGGGAGGAGTCAGCATCTCCTTGTGAGGGAGTGTGGGCAGCCGGACGCATACACAGCCACACACACCCCTATGCTGTGTCTTCTACAGCACAATGTCTTGACTGCATAGAGGCTCAGTCTTTTATTTGTTTATTTATAGTTAGAATTTTATTTATTTAATTTTATTCAAAAGACAGAAGGGCTGGTGCTTTTAACAGCGGGTTATGCCCTGGTCTACAGTGCCGGCATGCCGTGTGGGCTCCACTGAGACCCCACTTTAGCTCCAGCTCCCTGCTAATGCACCTGGGAAAGCAGTGGAGGATGGCCCGGGTGCCCACATCAGTGACCTGGAGAAAGCACCTGGCCTTGGCCTGGTCCTGCCCTGGAGGGAAGCAGTGCACGGGAGAGCTCGCTCTCTCCCGCTCTGCCTTTTGAGTAAATAAGTCTTTAAAAATCACATGGAGGCAGAGATACAGAGAAATTTTCTACCCACTGGTTTACTGTCTGAACAGCTGACCAAAGCCAGAGTAAAACCAGACCATGTGCAGGAAGTGGGGACCAAATCGGGGTCTCCTATTAGGGTGGCTGGGACCTCAGGGCTTGAGCCATTGCCTGCAGCCTCCCGTGCTGCAGTACCAGCACGTCAGACCCTCCAATGGAGCATCTGGGTCCATGGTAAGAGTTGTCACTGCCCAGCTGGTGACTGCACTGCTGGTGGCTGAACTTGTCCCTGTTCCAGCAGTCTGGCCCAAGTTCATCACATACATGCCTCTGGCAGTACACAGGCGGTTCATTCTTTATGCCTTTATCTGAAACAGGGATTTTTGTGTATTTGTCATAGTGCCTTTATATTCCATCTGCTGGGTCACTCCCCGGATGTCCATAACAGCTGGAACTGGGCAGGGGGCAGCCAAGGTCCAGGATCTCTGTCCAGGCTCTGCTGTGGGCGGCAGGGGCCCAGTCATTTGAGCTATAGTCTGGCATTCTCAGGTCATGGACAGGGAACTGGATCGGAAGTGCAGCATCCTGGACTCGTGTTAGCACCCTGATATGTGGTGCAGCATTGCAAGTGGTGGTTTAACCCACACCAGGAGATTTTTGTGTGGATACATGCTCACCTGCTTTGGAAGGACTGAACAGTGGAGAATGTGTTTGCTCTGCTGGGTCCCACTCTGTGTGTGCAGTGCAGATTCAGTACCAACATGGAGGGACCCGAGGGGGTGGTTCAAGGCAGAATCAAAGTGGAGGCAGGCTTTGGGGAAAGCAGGACCAGGCTCCCAGCCCTCCTAGGAACACTCCAGCCAGAGGTTGGCAGCGGTCTTCAGTCACCGCAGAGGGAGAGCTGGCTACTCTTCCAGGCTGAACTGGTTGCTGTTTGATGACTCAAGGGTTTTAATCTTTCCTTCCATAGTGTGGCGATGAGAGACCCCGGGGAGTGTGCGGTCATCAGTGTGTAAAGCAGCCTGTGTGTGTGTGTGGCCATGAGTCTGTAGTCCATGGCAGCCGTATAGCCCAGTCCAAGTGGAAGAGAGCAGCATAGGGCACCACTCCAGCTGGGTGCCAGGGCTGGCCTCAGCTGTCTGGGCCCCGGGACCCCTGTGCCCACCCTGCTGAAGTGCCTGGGAATTCGGTGGATGGGAGGGAGGTGGCGTGTGCTCTTCTCTCGCAGTGCCTCTCTGCAGCGCGTGCTGCCATAGCCCTCAGCGTGACTCCCACTGTCTCTCTGCCTTTTCAAAAGTTGATGATTTTTTATTTCCTTTTCTTTTTAAAGAAAAAGATTTATTTTTATTGGAAAGATAGATTTACAGAGAGAAGGAGAGACAAAGATCTTCTATCAACTGGTTTACTCCCCAAATGGCTGCAATGGTCAGAGCTGATCTGATCCAAAACCAGGAGCCAGGAGCTTCTTCTGGGTCTCCCACTTGGGTGCAGGGTCCCAAGGCTTTGCGCCATCCTCCTCTGCTTTCTCGGGCCACAAACAGAGCTGGATGGGAAGTGGAACAGCTAGGGCATGAATTGGCGCCCATATGGGATCCTGGTGCTTGAAGGGGAAGGATTGGCCAATTAAGTCATTGTAGCAGACCCAATTTTTGATTTCCAAAGCAATAGTTCAATATGCAGTATTTAATCTTTAGAAAATAAGCGTCTACCTTAGTTAGATAATTAAACTAATGTCTTATCCTGTCCTTTCCCCTACCTTCCCTAGCAGGTGGATACCCAGTGGACATCTTGGAAGATGACCCTGAGGGCCATCGGGAAGCAGCCCTGGCATGCTACGCCTCGCTCAGGGACAGTGCTGAAGTGCCCCCTGCAGTATTGTGCCTTCCCACTGGGGAGCAGGTTGGTGATGGACAGCTCTGGGAGGTCTGGTGGAGGGAGTGCTCCAAGAGCACCACAGGTTGGAGGAGAAGTCTGGACTCCTCCCTCCTTGAGAAGTAGACGAGTCCCCTACTGACTGTGATGCTGGAAAAGAGAGCAAGCATCCTTTCAGCACTGAAGGCCAAGGTCAAGGTGGGGATGGGACTGCAGGGCTGGTGGGAGTGTGGGTTAGATACAGCCCTGAAGAGCTTCAGGTGCAGCCACCCGTGCTGATGGACTTTTTGCTGTAGAGACCAGTAGGCGGAGAATGGAGTGCTAGGTGAGCGGTGGTTAAACATGGTGAGATGGAGCTAAAGTTAAGCTTGTTAGTGTGATTGAAACATTCCCACCTTCCGTTTCTACAGACGGAATGTTTCCTAGAAAATTCCTTTGGCTTCTGCCCCGAGAGCAGGTGGTATTGGGATGGGAGCAGCTCCGATGATGGAGCGACTCCGGCATGGGCTTTGATAGGCATGTGTCTGAGTTGGGCTGATGCTTGGCCTTAAGCCATCACGTCAGGGATGGACACGCTCCCGCAACTTCTGTAGGAGCCCAGGCCAGGTCTCTGCGTTGTGGTGACTTGGGGTTGGGAGGGTGCCAGGACACTCATGGATGTCAGGATTGCTTTTAAAGTTTTATTTACTCGAAAGGCAAAACATCAGAGAGAGGGAGATGCAAAGAAAAAGAGAGAAATCTTTCATTCGGTGGTTTACTCCTCAAATGACCTGAACAGCCAGGGCTAAGCTGTGCTGAGGCCAGGGTCCAGTGCTCCGTCGGGCGTGGGTGCAGGCCGTGGGTGCAGGCCCTGGGTACATGGGCCATCTTCTGCTGCCTGCAGGTACATTGGCAGGGAGCTGGGTTGGAAGCAGATGTGCTCCAGCAGGGGATGCCCGCTTCAGGAGCAGCAGCTCGGTCTGGGCTTTGCATTTGTTAGTTCTCTGAACACGCGAGGGCTGTCCACAAGCCAAATGCCTGCTTAGCTCAAATGTGGCATCTTTTTATCTTCTCACACTCTGCTCGGGAAGCTGGCTGCTGAGGGTATCGTGGACACAAAGAGGGTTTGGACTGGGTGCTGGAGGCAAGACAGCTGGAACTGGGCAGTTCCAGCATAGGACACCTGGTTCGTGGCTCACTTACGCACCAGCTGCCCAGATGCCAGCCCTGAGCCTACAGGTCACCCAAGAGGATCTGCACCTGCGTCCCTCCCGCCTTTCTTTCCTCCCTTCCCCGGACCATATTAGCAGGGAGCTGATTAGAAGTTGAACAGCAAGCATTCCTATAGTATGCTGGCTTTGCAGGCGGCTACCACATACACATTGGCCCCACTGTCCATTTCTTGTGATGCCTGGCAGGGCTCTAAGCTGGGGCAGCAGGCGGCCTGAGTAGCCCCTGGGCAAGGGTGGACACACTCTTGCTGTTTCCATAAAGGAATTCCTGAGCATGGGTGGACGTGGAGGCTGCCCCAGCTAGTGTGTGCTGCAGATGGCTCTTCGCTTTGGTAGGCTGGGGCCTTAGGAGTAGGAGAGATGGCTGTTAGGAGAGGAAGCTGACCCCAGGTGCCTGTGGTGACAGAACCCATGTTTAACCAGCATGTGCCTAGAAGGGCAGACGAGCGCGGGCAGGGCTTTTGTGGCTCCTCTGCTCTGCTGGTGTTTCTGTTTTTATGTTGCCTGCGTCCTGTCAGATTAACCTCTGTGTAGTCGTGTTCTGTGTTGATGCGCAGCTTCCTGTGCCCCTAGCACGAGGAGAAAGTGAACACTTATCCCGTTGTCCTTGCAGGTGAAGGTTGAGGCTGCATCCATTTGCCTTCGCACTGTGTACCGTGATGACCCGCAACAGAAACTTCTGGTCTTGGTTAGTCCTCGGGACACAAAGACAGGTTAGTGGGCTCTAAGGGATCTCGGAGGCAGGGATCCTGACATTGTCTTTGGCATAGTCAGCCGCTACACATGGTGCTGGTGCCGTGGACATCAGGGCAGCTCTGGTTGTCACTGCTCCCACCACGCAGGAGCTGGTGGTTGTGTCTGTGCACTGACTCAGGCATGGCTCTGAAGTCAGGCCCACTGTGTGGTGCCCCAGGCTGAGGTGCCCATGCTGCCTTCATTGCCACCAGTGCACAGAGCTTCTCGCTTGGGGTGGATGCTGTGCTGGTCGCCATGGCCCTGCTGAGCCAGCACTAACAGGTGTCAGTGCCCACACACGTGGACACACACCTGCAGCCTCTGAGGGTCACTTTCCCATGGCCATGCAGCTTAGCAAGGGAGGCGACTTTTACAAGGCGACAATGGAATTTGTTTCTGGGGCAAAGTTGTATAATTCACTTATTCTCTCCATGAAGAAAAAGTTTGTGTTGGTTTCTAGTTCCTAAGACTGTGACCCTGGAGGCTTAGCCATGCTTGGCTGCACCTAGGCTGGGCTCCGGGGCCTCTGGCAGTGGGCAAGTGCTAAGGGCTGCAGCCAGTGGGACTGCCCTGAGCCCTGGCCTCAGTGCACTCACTGGCGAAGGGGCTCAGTTTTGCTCTGTAGGGCTGTGGGTTTTTTTAAATTTAATTTTTGTGAAAAAGAAAGTCAAGAATCTTCTTGAAGAAAATGATGCTGCTGTATGATCTATGAGTCAGTGAAGAATTTAATGAGAAAGAGTGTTTTTGAAGAGATGGAACTAAAAAAAGTCAAAACCCATGAGCTATAGTAGCATGTTATTTAACTTTGTCATTTTTAATACCTTTGTTTTCTTCCTGTTGTTGATTTTGTATTGTGGCTTTTCATTTAAGGGGATGTATTGTAACTGTAATGGAGGGTGTCATATCCAGATGTGAGGATACAATGCAGTATGCATCTCTACTTCGAGACAAAGATGGACTCCCAATGAAACTATTAACTATATCTTGACAATAGGATGCTGGACTCTCTGCCATTGTCCATGCCGCAATCACGGACATATGACTGTGTGGGAAGAACTATACTATAGTGATGATATAGGGGAACTCAGTGAGTGGGTAGAAGATTGGGAAGGGGTAAGGGAAATCCCAGGGCCTATTGAATTGTATCATAAATGGTAATAATATTGATAAAGAAGTAAAAAAAGATTTATTTAAAAATTTTTAATGCAAAGTTAGATATACAGAGAGACAGGGAGCAAGATCTTCCATCCATTGACTCACTCCCCACAAGTGACCACAATGGCCGGAGCTGAGCCGATCTGAACTCAGGAGCCAGGAGCCTCTTCCAGGTCTCCCACATAGGTGCAGGATCTCAAGGCTTTGGGTCATCCTGTACTGCTTTCCCATAAACAGGGAGCTGGATGGGAAGAGGGACTGTTGGGATTAGAACGGGTGCCCATATGGGATCCTGGCTCGTTCAAGGCGAGGACTTTAGCTGCTGGGCCACCATGCCAGGCCTGGGGCTGTGGATTTTAACTCAGTCTGTGCTTCACACACGTGTTGTTGTGGCCAGGCACTGTTCCCCAGTAAGGAACAGCAGCAGTATTAGGGCAAGGCAGTTAGCTCCCACCATGTGGCGTGGTGTGGCGTGGGGTGAGGGTTTGGGCTCTCCACTTACACATGCATAGATGTATGCATGTCACTTGTGTCTGGGACGTGTCTTCCGTTGGTGTCACAGAGTTGTCTTTGGGGTGAGCTGTGCGGCTCACCGGCGTGAGGGCCTGTCTTCCTCTTCTGGCTGGTGTGTAAGTGTTTTTTTCCCTCCACACTGCCCCATGGCTGTAGTGGGCTGAGGTTTGAGGCGAGCTTTCCAGGCAAGGTCCCGCATAGTCTGTGCTTCTTGCTAGCAGATCCCAGCCTTCCATGAACAGAGAGGTCCTGCTCGTGATGGGCTTTGGACACTGCCTCGAGTGTGAGCCACTGCCAGGTTAGGGCGAGCAATGAGATGTGCCTGCAGGAGCCCCAAGTGCACAGATGGTCAAGAACTCTGCAATAGGAAGTCACCAGTTACCAGCAGCCCCGTTTGGGCGTTCAGTAATATCCTGTGTAAACACATGATCGGCTCTTGTGAATCTGTTTCCTGTTTATGTGAATATACTATAATAAATATTCATAAACTCCGCAAGTTCCATGGCAGACCCTTGTTGATATAATAGGGTTTAAAATAAAGCTTCCAAATGTCTCCCTGCTGCTACTGACTCCCTTGAGTTAGCGGAGATGTCAACAGGATTCCGTACAAGCACTCAGGTGTTCCCGGAGGGAGCCCTGGGGCACTGAGCAGCAGGTAACCGGCAGGAGTGGGGCCCTCTGCACAGCTGGGACCACCGCCACCTCCCCCGCTGATGTGACTATCCCAGCAGTGTGGTCTAGGCCATGTGTGTCTGGGCGGCAGCTGAAGGAGTCCGAAGCTTTTTGATAAGCCTGGTTGATTTTTTTTTTAAGATTTATTTATTTTTATTATTACCAAGTCAGACATACAGAGAGGAGGAGAGATGGAGAGGAAGGTCTTCTATCCAATGGTTCACTCCCCAAGCAGCCACAACAGCTAGAGCTGAACCAATCCGAAGCCAGGAGCCAGGAAGTCTTCCAGGTATCCTACGTGGGTGCAGGAACCCAAGGCTTTGGGCCGTGCTTGACTGCTTTCCCAGGCCACAAGCAGGGAGCTGGATGGGAAGTGGAGCAGCCGGGATTAGAACTGGCACCCATATGGGATCCTGGTATGTTCAAGACGAGGCCCTTAGCCACTAGGCCACACCACCGGCCCCAAGCCTGGTTAATTGTTGACAAGTGGGTTGACTCGACCACAGTGACTGCCCATAACCCTGAGCAGAGAACAAGCCTGCTGGTACCACGCGCTGCCCTGTGGCCAGCAAGAAGGCGAGGTTTGCCAGGACGTGAGTGGTGGGGTGTCCAGCTCTCTGCTTTGTGATGTGTGCGGTGGGGTGTGGAGGAGGTGCCTGGTCCTTGCCGGCTGCTTCTCTGGGCTGGCATGGCCTCTGTGCCCTGGGGGCTGTGGCCCTGGCTGCCCTGGTCTCCCCAGGCCTCCTGTGCCTCCAGCTCTTCTCCCGGGCTGTTAGTCCGCTTGCTGGCTACTGGCTAATTGTCCTCAGGTGTTTGCAAGGCTTCCTAGGATCAGAGCTGTCCTCAAAAAGTCGCTGCCTTTCCTTGTTCTCCTGAATTCAATCAGACAGGCCTGTCCTGGCCTTCAGGGTAACCTTGCAGGCAGGGCCTCGGCCTTCTCTCATTTTCCCCTTGTCTTCCACTGGATAACAGGTTTGGATCCCTGGCCCTGCCGAGTGGAGACCCAGCCAAGGCTCTCTGAATATCAGTTTTGCTATTTGCAAAATAGGGACTCTCACCCACTGCCCAGTGCGGTGACCACTCCCTGCTTCCTTCCGGGGAGCATGAGATGGGCTGGGCTCCATGGGCTTGCACGTGTCCTGGCCCACATGCCCCCACTTGCGCCCATCGTCTCAGGAAAGCCAGGGCTGCGGAGTGACTTCTGGCCACCCTTTGGTTGCTGGGTCACATCCTTGAGTCCTCACACTCTGCCTGGGGACTTGCCAAGCGTCACAGGGCGACCTTGTCTGCCTCTGAGCTGCCCCGTGTGGAAGGAAGTCATCCCTTACACTTGGCTAAACGCCACGCAGTCAGTGGAAAAGCAGCCGCTGCCGAGAGGCAGGCTAGGCAGGCTGGATAGGAAACAGGTGCTCCTGTGGGTGCGAGTGGGCACAGTAGGTACAGCAGAGAGGGCTGTGCTGCTGGGAGACAGAGGGCAGAGCTGAGAGCTCGGTTCTCTGGGGGCACCAGCCCTGTCTGGGCACACGGCTGGTGCCTGCCCATGGGGGCAGCTGATGATGGAAGCCACAGGTACAAGTCCAGAATGAGATACATGACTTGTAAAACATTTTCTCTTATCCTGTGAGTTGGCTTTAGAACAAAAGTTTCTAACTTTTATGATTTCCAGTTGATGTATCTTTTGTTACTTGTGCCTTTGGGGTCCCATTTGAAGAATCAGAGCCCAATCCGTCGTCACGTAAATGTCTAACTGTGCTTCCCTGTTGCGGCTGATTGGGTCTGAGGGTATTTGATCGTATTTGAAGAGTAGGTTCTTCTTGGTAGTTATTTGAAGAACATTAGAGTTCTAGTTACTACAATATTATTATGATATTATTACACACAGTTAATTCCAGCAGCCTGGTTCTTTACTGTGAGCTGAAAACGCCAGACGCAACGACGAATCTTAGGAGGTTTAGCAGGGCAGGAACGGGGCAGGACCGGGACGGGGGAGCCGAGGGGGAAGGGCAGGAAGGGGTGGCAGGCCAGAAGGAGAGAGAGAGCCGCACCTGGGGGTCCTTTTGTCAGTCAGGTGAGCAAGGTGTGGGGGGCGGGAGGGACTGAGGGCAGGCCCCAGGGGATTGGTGCGTGAGACTGTCACAGGTGATTGCCCAAGAATGATTGGTGAGTGGGCGGAGCTGGGGCGGGGCTTGGGGGAGTGGGGTGGGGTCTCAGGTGAAACGCCTGATTGGTGGATGGCTGAATTGGCGCGAATTTCGTGAGCTGTGAGGAAGAGGAAATGGCGCCGGGCCCAGGCTGGTATGTTTGAGTAACTCCTTACACTTCTATCCAGCTAGCTCTTCCTAAACTGTAGAGTCATTTAAGTTGTGAAGGGGGTGGGGCTTTATTTGTGATTCAAGTAACTGCAAATGTGGTGAATTCATTTATGCAGTTATTACACTGTTACAAACCCACCCAACCCATTATTTAGCAAACATTTATATTTCATCTCCAGGAGATTTTGAGCATTGAGAAACTGGGGGAAATGTGGCTACAGAACGTAGGGGACTTGGGTCTGCTCGCTGTCCTGACACTCGCCTGGAAAACACTGTCAGGAAAGGGAGTGAGGCCAGCGGCGTGATCTAGGCTTGATGAAGCCACA